AATCAAACGGCCCTATGATTGTAGTCCTCTAAACATCCTATGTAATAAGGGTAAACATGTTTAAAGTTATAAAATGTAAAGTGCGCGATGTAGGAACAAACAGTAGAATGCACGTGGAACAGTAATAGGCAAAAAACAGGAACAGTACAGTATGTTATATATGAAGAACAGTAGCAGGTAGAAACATGACAAGTGTAACATGCTATACAGGGAGAACAGTAGCGGGACAAGTGTAACATGCTATACAGGGAGAACAATAGCAGGTAGAAACATGAAAATTATAACATGCTATACAGGAAGAACAACTGCAGGTAGAAACAGGAAAATTAAGTGCTGTAAAATGTAAAACAAACCTGTACGTCTGTGAGATCCGATGTTCCTTAAGCATAGCAAACCTAAATGCATCTCAAAAAGCAAAGTCTGGAAGAAAACGTCATCCAGGAAATCCGAGGAAAAGCGGAAAACTCGAGAAAATCAACCAAAGAGACTCAAGTGAAAGAAAATCCTCAAAACTCCTGGGGAATCCCGAAAGAAAGGAAAAGTAACACGAGTGCCCGGTCCCAAAACTTCGATAAAACAAAAGAAAATTTCAAGTAAGGGGGACCGCAAGCACTCGTATGGGGCTAGGCTCAGCTATATTTATTCTCGAGGGTCCACGAAGGCTACTCGGTCACCCGAATATATAGAACCCGTCACTCATTTAGAAGTGTGTCTTGAACCTCACTTAGGGGACTATTTTCCAGCCTAAACAGGTATTCGTCAGGTGGACAACCAATTTTAAAACGCATTTTTAAAATTTATGTTTTTGACATACACACAAACTTTTAGACATACAAAGAAGAGTTATCAATTATTGTTTCTTAAAAAAGTGTGTTTTCGTTTGAAAATAATTTATCAAAACTTATCTCTTTTTTTTATTAGAAATTTTTGTTATCCACGAGTCGATTACGCTACCGGGCATAGGACTGCCAACAACCTGAGGAGGTTCGAGCCGACTACCGCTAGACTTATGTCGGTGAAAGATACCATATCCTATTGTTCATCAAATGTCTGGATCTTGATGTT